AAGATTATTCTGATAGAAGGAGACATGAGTCAACTGAATTTAGGATTATCAGAAAAAGACCGCATACGCATTCAAGATACTAATTTGATTTTTCACACTGCAGCATCCGTACGATTCTTGGATAATATTCGTTTTATAGTTAACACAAATATTAGGGGAACGAGGGATTTGCTTTTGCTTGCCYAGGGGATAAAAAGTTTAGAGGTGTTTAATCGTATTATATATTATAAACGATCTATATATAATCACGTATATTAAAGCATTATTTCCAATGAAATCCATTTATTTAGACATCGGATTTAATAAAAAAATATTTTGTCCTAATTTCATAATAACATTTTTCTTCAGGCCTTTGTTTATATATCAACGGCATATTCACATTGCATATATAAAAGAATTGAAGAAAAATTCTACAAGCCGCCTATAAAGACGGAAGACATAAWTAAATTGGTAGAGATTTTAAGCGAAGACGAATTGGAATTAATTACCCAGAAGTAATAAAAAAAAAGAATATTGCATTTTTCTTAAAGTTAACAAAAGTAGTTTAGCATATTCGCTTYTCTTACAGGCTACTTGGTAATTGGCCTAATACTTACGCATATTCGAAGGCAATCTGTGAAGATACTGTACGGCAATATTCCTATGGAATTCCATCTTGCATCCTTAGGCCGTCTATTGTKGCTTCAACGGAAAAAGAACCAATTGCCGGTTGGATCAATAATATTTATGGAGTAACAGGAACTGTTTATGGTTCTGCGCTTGGTGTTTTACGCACGTTGCAATGCAATGAAAGGCTTATTTGCGACATAATTCCTGCTGACTATGTTGTTAACAACATTATTGCTGCTGCATGGGACGTTGCACAGAAACAGTCACTTTTTTTAACTTTTAAATAATCTCTAAAATGAGTTGCTAGTTTTGCTCTAAATGTAACATTTACAGCAAATWAAAGTGATCCTTAATTGTAGGTCCATACTAAAGAATATTAGTCCCTCAAATGTAAAACACAATGATCTACTAACGGAAAAAGATATTCCAATTTATAATGTTTTTTCCTCTGTTCAACAACCAGTTAGTTGGGCTAACTTTGCAAAGAACGTGAAAAAAGTTGGTATAAAATATCCGTCGAAAAAAATATTATTTTACCACTCGTTACAGATGGTTCTAAACTATTATGTCTATTTCCTTTTCACAATTTTTTTGCACTGGATTCCAGCTATTATAGTGGACTCGTTAGCTTATCTCAGCGGAAGAAAGCYAATGTAATATCTGACGATGTTTAAATTTACAAGCGATTAAATAATCATCGTTAAAGATCAACATTATCAAATAATTATTTATTTTTCAGATTGCTTAACACTTTCAGAAAAATAGAAAAGATGAAACATGTAATGCATTATTTTRCACTTAATGAATGGGAATTCAGGAACGATAACGTTTTAAAGTTATGGGACAAACTATCAGACGTCGATAAACATAACTTTTTTTTTAATGTTGCTGATATTGATTTGCAGCGTTTTTATGATACTTACATGAAAGGAATTCGAGTATATTTTGTGAAAGACCCGATGGAGACGTTAGAAGAATCAAAAATTTATTATAGAAAGTAAATGTCTTATAATCTTCTTTTTATAAAAATTATTTTTCTCTCCTTTTGCTTAATCAATTTTTCATTAWTTTTTATTTATAGGTTGAAAATAGTTCATTATACTGTGAAATGGTTGTTTTATGCATTAATCCTTTGGATCTTCTACTCCTTATTAAAATCACTTTTTTGTTCTGTATTTTTTCACTAAGAATCTGTGCCAAAAAAAAGTGATCTTTTCCCATTTTTTTTAAATTTTATTCTAATTTTTTTTACACTTATTTTATTTATTTTATTAAAAAAAAAATTTTTTAACGCAATTTTTTGTGAATATACGTGAAGAATTGAATTCTACACGTGAAGTAACCAAAAAAAGTTGTATTAAAATGATTTTTTCTCTTTTCTTGGACAGCATTTGTTGAAATACAAATGATATTGGCTAGATTTTATTGGACATAACACTTTTTATTTGTTAGTATACGCTTTAAAACTTGAAAGAAAACATTTTTTTGCTTTTGTTATATAGCACTTTTTTAGAAATTTTATAGTTTTTAACTACGATTTAATCTAGAAAGTAGCGAAAATTTCTTTTTAAATATATTGAAAATTTTTTAGCGACAGTAAAAATGGGCTACTAGAAACTAAACAGAATGGATGTCAGGTTTATTACAATCGAGTTTCGTTGAAAAAGAATTGAATTCTTCACGTAAAGTAACCAAAAAAAGTTGTAATAAAA